AAACATAGATAGGCAGATGTCACCAAAGATTGGCAGCCCAGGGGGAATGTGGCTGTCAGCTGGTGAGCTGGTTTAGTGGGCAAAAGTGGAGTTCCTGTCAGACAGCTTCTGGCTCTCCAAAGCAGGCAACAGGATTCTATTGAGAAGGCAGCTGGTGGCTTAAGAGGGCAGAGTGCTTAGTAGCTGGGACATAATGGGACAAAGCAAACTGACCAGAGAAGCATGACTGGAGTGGCAAGTGATGAGGTTGAACATAAAAGATTTGATAGTGTGACTGATCTCCTCAGGTGAAGGCTGGATTTGTCCAGCCAGAATTTTTGCCAGGCTGTTTGGAAGGAAAGACAAACTGCCATTGGCACTGCTGTAATCCAGAATGGCAGCTATGGCCACAGAGAAAGGAAGTAGACTGGAAGGGTCCAAGTGAACTTGAGGCCTGAGGCTGCTCTTGGGGTGGTTATTGTACGAACAGCTAAGTGAGCCGGATAGTCTGAGAACATCCCCGAGTAACAGGATGCTTGGGCTTCCACTTGTGGGAATGGAGTAGTTTGAGGTTTCACAGACTAAGGAAGAGGTGGTGGGACTGAGGGCCAGATCACTAGGAAGCCAGGTCACAGAGAAGCCAGGGTGTTTGATGTGTCATCAGCGCAGCCTCTGAGGTCACTCTGGCTAGGCAGGGAATGGCTTAGAGAGAAAGACAGAGCCAGTGGCAGAGGCCTCGGGGTTGGGGGGAGAGGGCTTTGGGACACGGAAATACCACTTCTACCTGAGGTACCTGGGACATGAGAGAATAAAGAACCATACCCCTGCACACCTGCAGGGACAGTTATATGCTCAAAGAGCAACAGATCTCTTAGATCTAGAGGCAGAGGAATACTGTGAGGAGAGCCAGGAGGTTAGAGAGGTCTGCAGACCACTATGGCCCCTGCCATGGCCAGAATCGGATAGGGCCACATCTTCAGGCTCGACCGAGCTCACAAGGGAGCCTTCAATAAGGGAGTGAGCAGCAAGGACTGCTGGCTGTTTCTTCTACTTCAGCCCTGTTCCTTCGCAGTCCATGAAGCAAGTCAGGTCACACTGCAGCAGCAAGGCAGTGCCACCTTAATTCAGAGCCACATTTCAAACAGCCAGAGTCCAGCACAGAGAAATCCAGAGCCATCCCTTCCAAACCCAGGTTACAGGATCCATCCTGTCTCTAGTGTGGCAGGAGCCAATGAAAGCAGTACTAACAATTTCGAGCTCAGAAAACAGGCTAAGATGGTATGTCTCCGAGCACACCAGCACTTGGCTAAGGTTAGGTCCTGGAACTTGCTGTGGAGACCACAGGCCTCCAGGCCGCCCTGCTGCAGACTCCACCGTGGGGCCAAGCCGCAGGTGCCCAGGTGAAAGAGCCCCACTCTCTTCTTCGCAAGATTCTAATGCATGAACTCCTTAAGAACACATCTTATAAACTAACCCAAAGTGAAAGTGCTTGCCCCGGCCTGACAATCAAAATGCAAACCATTTTCAGTGAGAAAATTGTGAGTCTGAAAATTTTGCATTGAATTGTCATAAATCCATCAGATGCTTCACACACATCCCAAAACTGATACCCAGTATGTGCTTACGCCCGCACCCTATGCATGCACACTCACAGGAGACTTGGTCCTTGATAACAGCTGCAGATAGGTTGGCCCTGGCAGCATAATCAGCAGAATACTTCACTGCCACATCGGGAGAGTGTCCTCTCTTCTCTCCAGGGTCTATAAATTTCATTTAGCATGTGTTATGTGGCCAGTGTAGACAGTCATTAGCTTAGAAGTAAGATTCCTTAAAAGTTCTAAATTTTTTTAAATTTGCAAAACACTTTCCATGAAAAGGATGTTTACATATAACCTATAAATACCTGCTTAACCCACAGTATGATGTATGTAGTAGACATTTGTAATCTTAAAATAATAGAAAAATATTACATATAGTCAGTTGCATTCTAATTAAAATACCATTCTGAAGTTGGAGAGTCTGTAGGATTTGAGCTTAGATATCAGCATTTGGGCACAGCAACTTATAAGACTCTCAGGAGCTGGGGTGGGAGTGAGACAGGGTTTCACTATGTAATAGAGGCTGGCCTTAACTTGTGATAATTCTCCTGCCTAAGCCTCCCAAGTGCTGGGATTACAGGCATGTGCTACTATACCCAGATTCTGCACCCCTTTTATAATTAATTTTTTAAGTGGAGGGATAAAAAGGAGAAAATTGGCCCAGGGATATAACTCAGTGGTACAATTCCTGTCTAGCAACCATGCGGTCCTGAGTTCAATTCCTAGTACCAAAAAAAAGAGAGAGAAATTGCACTTATGTAACTGAACAAAAATTAGAAAAAACAAGGATAAGGAGGGCGGGGTTGCATGTGTATGTGTATGCCTGAAGACTGCTAGTATAGTAATTACCTCAGAGCTTCCCACACTTCAACCTTACCCACAAAATAGGAACAATAATTCTGTCCACAACCTTGCTGTGTTGTAGGGCTGAGAGATTGCAAACACCATAAATATTAGCGCTGCTCTTGATTACTATTAGTTATCAGCGTCGTCGTCATCGATGCTGTGACTGCATGCCCAGCCCCAAGGAAGAGCCGGAGTGGCAGTGGGGCTGCTGAGGGGGAGCTCCTTGGCCACAGCTGGTGGGGCTGGTGTCCCGGTAGCTGCAGAAGGCGCCACTGCCTTTGGGGAAGGCAAAGGCAGGAGAAAGCTTGGTCGAAGCAGCTGTTCAGCATCCCAGTCCGAACTCAACTGTATGTTCACAAGCCAGAAACCACACAAAAGCTGAGGCTGCAGCGAGGCTGCAGGGGGCCCTGTGATGGATGGCAGGGAGCGCGTGGGGACCAGTTGGGCGGTGTGATCACAGAAGCTGTGCCCAGCCAGGCGGGGACGATGGGAATTCATCTGTAGAATGTTGATGGTCACAGATGTGCAGACTTTACACAAGAACCTATCGTGTTTACAGATAAACCAAGTGCCACTGATTATCTTGTGTGCTACATTAACTGTGTTCTCCTTTTCCCACCTTACCCTCTTTTCCTCGGTCTTTCCCTGCCTCTCCCTTTTGCATAAACAGTGTCAAATCCTGTTTCCAAAACATGGAGATCTGCAAGCGGCGAGTGAATATGTACGACACGGTGAACCAGAGCAAAACCCCTTTCATCACACACGTGGCCCCCAGCACGTCTACCAACCTGACCATGACCTTTAACAACCAGCTGACCACTGTCCACAACCAGGTAAGCGGGCAGCAGAGGGCGGCCAGGCCGGGCTCCTGATGTGGGCAGCAGGACTTGAATCCCCAGAGCCTCTCTCTAAGGAAGCCCTTGCTTCCACCTTTATGGCTTTGGCCCACTCGGGTGCTCTTTGTTTGACTATTGGCCTCAGCGGTCTCACAAAGGACTCACAGGGCCTTCTCTCTGTGGCTGCGCCACTTCCTGCTCTCCGCTGCCTGACACCATGACACTTCTGCGCCTGACCTCTAGCCAGTAAGGAATCCCAGAACTGAAAAGGACTTGTGCGCCTCCCTCACCCCTCTGCCCTGGGTCCATGTACTCTCCATCCAGGACAAATAAAACCTGTCCTTTCTCCAGGCCACTGGGAAAGCAGCTCAGCAGGCTGTCAGCAGGATCCTAGCAGCTAGAGAAGGGACCAGAAAACGAAGGGATTCTTTCCCCCTGCAGATTTCTAACCTTTTGCAGAAAATTAGCAGAATCCAGCATAATGCTTAAAATATGGGAAAGTATTTACTGAATGATAATCTCCAAGCTGTAGCTCCGACTACCTCTTAAGATCTAAGACTATTTATCTGGCTTTTTGAGACAGGGTCTCATATGTAGTTCAGGCTATCTTTGAACTCACTGTGTAGCCCTTCACCTTGTGGCAAGCCTCCTACATCAGCCTCCCAAGTGCTGGGATTATAGAGGTCCACCCTCACACCAGTCCTAAAACTGTTTGTGCTGTCATCTTCCAGTCTCACAGTTCCCCCGAAGAGGCATCCCTAGACTTTTCTTTTCTTTCTTTCTTTCTTTCTTTCTTTCTTTCTTTATTTATTTATTTATTTTGTGTGTGTGTGGCCAGCTCAGCCCACCAGGGGGCGGGCTGGCTGGCATGTGGTGCTGGGGGATTGAACCGCGGTCCCTGTGCTTTGCTCAGCTTAGCTTATTATACGTAGGTGCTTTAGACCACTGAGCCATCTCACCAGCCCCCTAGACTTTTCTTGATACCAATCTATGACAAAAATGGTTGTGTTTACACTTATGCCCACCCAGACACAACCACTGAGAAGAGGAATGCAAATGTGCTACCCCTGAAGCGTGGCTACGTTTACCTGGCCACCCACTTTGTTGTCAGGTTCCCCCTTGTCACTGAGGAATTCCTGACCTTTGCTTTTCAGCCCTGCCCCTGTCCCTGCCAGTCCTTTCTTGTATTCTAGGGATTCGCAGTGGGGAGCAGGGCCTTATTGCATGCTGTGTGCTAAGGCCCAGGCTTTTACTTCCTTCTGCCCCCTGCCACCAAGTCAGGGGGAATCTGCTGCCCCCTGGAGGCCATTATTATTGACGCTTTCTCTTAATGCTTAGGGCCAAAGAAAGGAACATTTCCTCCTCACCCTTAGCTCAGACCTAAGGCTAAGGGATCTGCAGCAAGATATGAACTTCTGACAGCTGTCACTGTGGTTTTGGTCATTACTGCCTGAGCTTTTCCTCCAGGCCTCAGGAGACACATGATATTAACCTGCTAACCCCACATAGCATATCCCCATCCACTGTCTGTCCACCCCATCCAATACCAAAAGGCCTGAGGGAGTGCAGAGCAGGATCCTCCACAGCATGGGTCACATTAGACAAGTGCCCACCAAGCTGTCCTGTCTCTACCAAGCTGCAGAGCCACAGGACCCACATGGTCCTGGGCTCCTGACCATGCCAAGGGAAGCCACCTCCATCCTACCTGTCAGACGACCAAAAGGGCTTCTCATCAAAGGGGTGGTTACCTAACCGCTCTTCTTCATAGCACTGAGATCTTCCAAATCAGGAAGCTGCTGGGAATTTAGTAAAGTGTTTGGACCATAGCACTGGGTAAAGGGAGATGCCATTCTACAAAAGCAAGGAATCCGAGAATACGATCTCCATTCTCTGGCACTGGATTCTACTGTACCCTGCTTTTGAAGATATCAGGGTTAAACGTTCCTCAGCAGTAAGGCCTGCCATCCTCCTCTGACAGTGTCATGAAGTGGTAAGATCACTGATAGTAAACAGTTAGTATGTCCCAGACTGTCCTACATATGTCATGCTTCATCTTCCCAGCAGCCATGTAAGATAGGTGCTAATATTGTCATCCTTTCCATTTTAGAGAGAAAACAAGTACAGAGCAATTAAACCTGTTACCCTGGCTACTTTCTTAATTCATGCAAGACAGGCTTGGGCCTTGAACCAAACAGTCGGGTGTCCGTACTCTTGGAGCACATGCACACACGCACATGTATGCACACGCTCTTGTACACACACAGCACCACATGGTTCCACAGCTCCTCAATGCCTTTCTTCTCTGGCCTCCATGCATTCTAGTAGCTTGCTTTCCATAGGAGCTCCGTGGACCTTTTGTGCCCATATAAATATTGAGAAGCAGCAAAATGCACTCACAGTTTAATCCTAGAAGTAGGACATTAAGCTATGTAAACAGCTCCTCACTCCCTGCAACGCATGTGTGGCAGACACACCAGAGACTTTTCCTGAGCGGCCACCAACCTATAACACTTTATGTCTTAAGGAAACTGGGTCAGTGACACATAGCCCTTCTGTCTGCTAGAAGCTGGCTTCCCCTGCTTTCTAGAAGCATAACCCAGGTAGTAACATAGTGAATGAGGAGCCCGCTGTTGGGTATTCTTAGTATAACCCAGTGGATCAGCCACTTCTCTGGCGTATCTGTGGCATTCTGTGATTTGTACCTAGCATTCTTTTTTCTTTTTCAGACAGGATCTCACTGTGTAGTCAGGGTTGGCTTTGAGCTCGTGGCAGTCCTGCCTCAGCCTCCCAAGTGCTGGGATGACAGGCATCTGCCACTACGCCTGACTGCACCTAGCAGTCTAAGAATATTAACTTGTGTTTGTAGGCCAAACCCCTTCATGGGTGTCAAACCTTTTGAGTGTCTATTACAACTATGATTCTGGGGGGCTGGAGAGATGGCTCAGTGGTCTAAAGCACCTACTTGGAACAAGCTTGGCAAAGCACAGGGACCGCGGTTGGATCCCCCAGCACCACATGCCAGCCAACCCCGCCCCCTGGTGGGCTGAGCTGGCCACACACACAAAATAATAATAATAACTATGATTCTGCTTGCAAGAATTACTTATCCCGTTTTTTTAAGGCCCACATTGCCAGCAAACTTACTTTTTCTTATTGTCTCCATTTCTTAGCTACAGAGCTGTTAGTTACCCCTCCCTGCTCCTCTGGAACAGGTGACAGGCTAATTACCTTTCCCAGTACCAGAGGACACAGAGAGATAGAAAACTGGTACCTTTTCACAAGCTTCTTCAGCCAATCTTTAGATCAGAAACTAGAGGGACCCTGCCTGCGTGCTGATAGTCACAGTATGGACAGGCACAGGACAGGATGCAACTTCATTTGTCCTTGAATCTGCAAGAGCTGGAGAACTCGTCCTCTCAGTGAGCTCATGGTCTCCACGGTGAGATGGGTCATAAGCAAACCCAGATAAATGCCAGCACAGACTCAGGTACAGGAATCCAGAGCAGAGCAAGACCTCTTCAGGCTGGACAGCCCTTTAGTGCGAGCCTAGCTGCGGGGTCTACACCATACCCTGTAAGAGCGAGACAGGAGCCGTGTTGCCATTGATGGGGTCATGAGGGGAAGTGGACCTGCTGTGGAGCACAAGGTCACAGGCCTAGGCCTCAAGCGCAGGGCTTTGCATAGAATACTGTGGGCCAAAGGATTTATCTGAAACCCAAGACCTGTGCTCACATAGGCTTGGAAAACAATGACCGGACTAATCTGCCCTGTACCAGGAACCTAAAGAGCAGGAAAAGCTAAGCTAAGAAAGGATGAGGAGCAAAGAGATCGGGCACAACATACAGCCCGTACTCCCTCGCAGGCTCTGGAGCTGTTGAGCAGGCCGGACACCCACGGGTACTTCTGGAAGAATAATCTGGAAAGAATGGCCACCATCCCCAAGAGGAGTTGGAAGAGAAGCAGGGACTGGGGCATCACTGTTCAGGACCTACAGGACCCCAGCCCCAGGAAGCAACAAGTAAAAAGAATTGGGGCACCTGGAGCAGCAGGAGCAGTGATTGACCAGAGAGAGCATCAGCTCAGCATGAGCTGGGGCACCTAGAGGACACTGGTGCCAGGGCCCCAAGCAGGGAAACCCTCAGGCTAGAGCTAGGCTCCAGCATGCAGAATCTAAGCAGATGACACGTGTTGGGAAGCTTCCCGGAGAGAGCAACGGGGGAACCAGCAAGTGAAGTCCTTCCGCCAGAGGCAGACACAGGCTCTGGTTTCCGCCTGTGTGTGAGTGTGCCCTGCCATTGTGTTTGGATGTAGGTGGCAAACAAACACACATGTTAAAATATATATCTTCGATATATATTTTTGGGGCCAGGGAGATGTCTCAGTAGGATAAGCGCTTCCCTGGCAGGCACAAGGGCCTGAGTTCTATCCCCCGTTCCACCAAAGAAAAAAAGTATCTTCAGTCCTAATCCACATACCACAATGTAGTGATTGTTTTCAAACAAACTGCCTTCCTGTAAAATTAAGCCTACAATCCGAGTATAAAAAGCATATATAAAATGAGACCTGGTCCTTACTATCAAACCTGACACATTCGCACACTCTGCTCAGCCTCTGTGTGTATGTCCAGGATGGCACTTGGCTCTTCCCCTCTGTGTCCCTTTCTCTTCATACCTGCTAGAGGCATAACCTCCTCCATAGACAATGTGCAGCTTGAAACTTGTGCCAGCCTCCCCTTATCTTGCTAAAGGATCAGTGTGAGGAAAACTAAGAAGGGAGAAACTGAAGAATCCCAGTTTGGAATTTGTTCTTCTGGAGGCTTCATGTTGAAATTGACTTTCAAATGGTGTCTCTTCCTGAAGGAGAAAGGAGAGAAAACACCATTGTGATGGCTTGCGCTTGTCAAACCCACTCCACTGAAACTGGATCTCCAGCCCTCTCTGTCCCACCCCTAGTAGCCGAATGCCACCCTCAGGGCCAGGAACTCAGACAAGAGAGCCCAGTCTCTGAGGGCCCTAAAGTGCAGGGTCTCTAGCTCACAGCTCCACAGTAACTGCTCTGCAGCATCTAAGGATGCCATGGGCCTGGGCAAGAGGGCACCTTGTAGGGCTGTGCTGTAGCTCCTCCTGGGGCCAGTGCTGCTGGGCTGAGGTCTGAAGATCCGGGGCTTGGGCCGTCAGGGCCTGCAGAGGCCTCTTCCTGGATTGGTCACCCAGGTTATGGACTGCCCCACCAGGCCCCAGGGGAAGAGTAACCTTGGATGCATGGCAGGCACCACTGTCCCTGTCTGCCTAAAGCCCCTTAGTTGGTGGGAACAGGCCAGGTGGGGTAAAGTGAGGCTCGGCTCAGCTTCTCACACTGTTGCAGTGCAGAACCCAAGGAATCCCAAAGCCCTCAGCTCAGACCTGGCTTCCAGGTTGGTTGCTAGGAAGACACAATTGGTCCAAGAGGAGGGGCAGATGTTTTATTTAATAGTTTCCCAGCCTAACCTATAACTTTTCCACATGTAAACATATAATAAATAGGCAGCCCTTTGTACTGTTGTCTGGGCCCCGTGACTGCAAGGAGTAGGCCTGGATACGAGCCTCAGAGGTGCTGCATGTCTCCTGTGCCTTCCAGTGCCTACCCTGCGACTTTCAACTGGGTTTCTGCTTCTCTCTGTTTGTGCTCTTAGTTTTTGTTTGTTCTCTTTGAGTTCATTTATTTGGTTTAAATTCATATCTCCCAACGTACCACCTCCCTCATTTTTTATTTTTGTTTATTTTTGTTTAATCCCCGTCATTCCTTTAGGCTCCCACCTCCACCAGTGCCACTATTTCCTTAGCCAATCCCGAGGTCTCCATACTAAACTACCAATCTACACTCTACCAGCCCTCAGCGGCATCCATGGCTGCAGTGGCCCAGCGGAGCATGCCCCTGCAGACGGGAACAGCTCAGATTTGTGCCCGGCCTGACCCCTTCCAGCAAGCGCTCATCGTGTGTCCCCCTGGCTTCCAAGGTAAGCGGACAGAGCTGCTGCTCTCCAGCACTTGGGCAGCTGCCAGCCCCTGGCGTGCTCCTTCCATGGAAGAAAGCCCTCTTTTCCTTCAGTGAGAGGTGAGCCTGTGCCAGGGGCTCATGTCCCACTGTGACCAACCTAGAACAATAGGACTTGTGCTTGGGCACCAAGTCAATTTGTTGTTTTTGTCACCACCTGCCAGGGATTGTGTCCCTGGTCAGCTGCCTGTAATTCAGGACATTGTCAGTGGGCCCTTTGTCATGCTGATGTGTGTGCTTGCTTTCCTCACATGAAAGGCCCTGTTGCAGTATCTATAGAGAGTTGCCAATCTGCCCAGCAGCCAACATCATCCAATTCTATCTGTATGAGAAGTTCCTTCCAGGGCCTCCTCCCCAGAAGGATTCTTTGGCCATGACCCCAGCAGCACTCTTCTCATGTAGAGTGACTGTTACCTTGTGGCAGTGCACAGAGAAAGCTGACCTCCTGGCCTGTAAAAAACATTTAAGTTTTGTTTTTTTTGGGGGGGGTTGGTGGGAGGTGCTTCTTCTTAGGGGAGGTTTATTTTTTAGTTTTAGTGCCGAGGACTAAACCCAGGGCTTCCAGCTTGCTAGGCAAGCATTCTACCGCTAAGCCAAATCACCAGCCCCGCTGTTTTTTAATTTAAAAACTAAAGGGGAAACTTCATGAAGCCCCTAAAACAAAACCTGGTTGTCAGGAACTGGGAGATGACAGATGAGCTACTGGCTGGGCGGGATCTCCTCATCTAGCTGTTTCTGGTCACTCATCTGGCTCCTCTCTTCCTCCTGGTTGGAGCAGGCTTACAGGCCTCTCCCTCCAAGCATGCTGGCTACTCAGTGCGCATGGAAAATGCCGTCCCCATCGTCACTCAAGCCCCAGGAGCGCAGCCTCTTCAGATCCAGCCAGGCCTGCTTGCTCAGGTAACCTTTCCTCTGTCACCACACACGTCACATCCCCTGTGTCAATGTCATTTACCGGGAAGCTCTGTCTCCAATAATTCACTCCCTAGTAATGAGTTAGGAGCTTCCAGTCATTGGAATATATCTCTAATATCCTAAATGATCCCCAAGTGAATTACCTTCCTAAGTATCTGCTTACAATTTCAAGAAGAGATGTAGATACCAAGAGTCTAGGGAAATTACTGTGGGATCTTTGTAATGCAAATTAATCTGGGAGACCAAGGTTTTAATCTGAAATCTGCTAGAAATTCTCAATGACCTAAGGCAAGGCAGTTAACATCTCTTTGCCTCAAATTTCTTCCTTGCAAAATAGAAATGATTTTCTGAAGCCAAAAGAGCCCTGAAGATTATTCCTCCATTTTGTAGTTGAAAAACAGGCTCAAAGCAGCTGCGTGCTGGAACCTCCCTTGTCTTTCCATGTAGGTACTCTGAATGGTAGCTGGAATTTTCAATTCCAGCCTTGGAGATGAAAATGTCTGGAATTCCGTCAAGAATAATATAACCTGGGGCTGGGGAGATTGCTCAGTGGAATAAGCGCTTCCCTGGCAAGCGCAAAGGCCTGAGTTCAATCCCCGGTTCCGCAAAAAAAAAAAAAAAACAGAATAATATAACCTGAAGGCAAGAGTAGCAATAACAGTAATGAATCCTCGATGCTATTTGAACCCTAGTAACAAGTACCCCATTGTTATGGCAGGCACTGTGCAGTTGTTTATTTAATAATCCCTGCAACAATACAGTAAGGCGTTTGTCTCCATCTGACAAACTGAAACTAGAACTGATTCTCAAAGACACACAACAATGAGATGACAGAGCCAGACCCCAAGCCCAAGAGGCCTGAGGCCAGCACCTGTCCCTCATCATCCTGCTGCCCATTTTCCATCTCTTCCTTTCTGCAACAGGGTGCAAGGGCAGTTGACCTGGATGTCGTCAGTTAGGGAGCACTTTATGCTTAGTAAGGCAGGTTCCCAAGGTGTTCCCAAAGACACTTTACTTATGATCGCTTGTTAAATAGAAGTGGTTGTGGTTTTAATCTTTATGTAATCACATTGTACAAGTTGTTCTTGGCTTTCCTATAGTCTGCTGGTGTCTCTATTGTTCTGTTCATCTTAATCCTCATAACTTTAATAGATGTCTTAGTAACTGGTAAGGAAAGCTTGGTTCTCATGTACTTCAGTATTTCCTTGTCTCTTGTCTTTTGCATATGAATTTTTTTTTAAATTTGAAATAGGGTGTCAGTAAGTTCCCAGGCTGCACTTGAACTTGAGATTCTCCTGCATTAGCTTCCCAGAGTGCTGGGATTATAGGCTTGTACCACCACACCTAGCTTCCATATGAATTTCAACGTCAGTCTTCTATAAAAATGTTAGTTTAAAAACAAAGAGAATATTGGAGGGCTGGTGAGACAACTCAGTGGACTGAGCGCCTGCTTAGGCAAGCACAGGATCCAGGGTTTGATCTCTGGCCCCACGTGCTGCGCCGTCCCCGCTCCTGGGAGCCCTGAGCTGGCCACCGAGACCAGGTGTGGTGGCATGCGCCCATAATCCCAGCACTGGGGAGGCTGAAAACAGGAGGATCACTACAAATTCAAGTTGTATAGTAAGACCCTGTGCCAGAATACATTTAAAAAAAAAAAGTTAAATAACAGTGCTCGGGGCCGGGGAGATGGCTCAGTGGAATAAGCGCTTCCCTGGCAAGCGTAAGGGCCTGAGTTCAATCCCCGATTCCACCAAAAAAAAAAAAAATAACAGTGCTCATATTGAATGTCCTTGACTTCTACTTTAAAGTAAATCCTTCTAGCTGATTCTTGGTTATTCTATTTACTACAAATATTTGATAGAGAAACTATCATACTTACATTTTTAATGAATATTGAATTATATCAAACATTCTTTCTGCATCTGTTGAAATACCTATATCATTTGTTCCCTAATCTGTTAAAACAACACATTATATATAATGTAACAAGTAAGTATAACAAGTTATATAACAGATTGCACAATCTAAACTATCCTTATATTTATAAGATAAACTTTATTGAATTATGTTGTGTTTGGTATGATGCTATACTTTTAAGTACTGGATTCATTTGGCAAATACTGTAATTAGCATTTTCACATCTGTGTTCATAGGTGAGAAATGGCATGTGAATTTCCCTTTCTTATAGAATCCTTCTTTGATTTGAATACAGGGTTAAACCTGTCTCGTAAAATATGTTGGCACCCTGTCTCTTCTTCCCTAAAATACAAAAATAAATAAATAAAATAAAATACGTTGGATATCGGCACCTCTTCGGGAAAAGCTAAGATGGACATGATTTGCTTTTGCGACACCATGAGTGGCCGCTGACAGTAGCAGCTGGTGGCCTGGTGACACACAGGCTTCTTTCATGGGGGATGCTGTCAATGAAGACCCTCTATATTTAAAGCAGGTCTCCCTCCTATCTTAGCAGTCCTTGCAGCTTCCTTTTGTTGCCTAGTTCCAGAGTAGGGAGTTCAGAAAAGCCCAAGATGGATCAAAGGAAAGAACTGCAGCTGTCCAGGGACTAAGAAGGTTTTCATATTTTATCTGAATGCCAAAAACCCAGACCAGTCCCCTCTGCTGCTCTTCTGTGAGCCAGAAAATCTATAGATTTCATGTGTGCTTTGAAGGGTAATTACAGGCCTTTTATTGTGTTTGCACACTTAACCTGAGTAAGCTAACAGCCATCTCTGAAAGAAGTAACAAGCAGCATCTCCTCTTAGCTCAAGTACACTTCTTCATTGTGCAGTTTGGTGGAACCAGTAGGGTTGGCATTTCTGGCAGAACCGGGGATTGAACTCAGGCCCTTGCGCTTGCCAGGGAAGCGATTATTCTACTGAGCCATCTCCCCGGCCCAGCTTGGCATTTCTGAATTTGTTTCAGTTCTTTAGTCATAGCAAGGGAGGGCTCTACCTTTTACTTACTGGAAAAAGAATCTCCAGAGTGTGGTAAATCTCCAAGTTGATTTAACCTAAGTCTGTAATTGGGAAAGTGAACAAAAACGTGTACAAAGATTTTAATTGCTACAGTGTTTGTGGCAAAGAACTATTGGAAGCAAGTTCAGTGTGCATCCCTAGGAGATTGTTTACTCAGTAGATGAGTGCAGGAAATGGAACACTGTCTAGCCAGTAAAAAGGACGCAGTAGACCTGTGTGTCGTGACAGGTAAACTTCTAAGATATATTAAAGTTAAAAAAAAAAAAAAATTTGGCCCTATCCAGTGTCACGCCATATCTTGTTATTTATTGGTTGTTTTTCCTCTTTCTCTGTGCTTTTCACTTGATCAATGCCAACGCTAGCCTATTAAGACTGGATTCTCTCCTACAGGTTTTTAAATGATCCTTCTGAAGAACCAGAATACATCAAGTTACAAAACTAGTGTGGTGACTTTTGTCATAAAGCAGTCATTAAACATTCAAGCTGAATCTTTCATCTATGGATACATTTCTAGGCTTCAGGCAGAACCATTCTAAAAACTGTTTACCTTAAAAGTATCTAAAAACCTGGGTTCATTCTTTTTAAGAATTTTACTTTGATGGTTTGAGGCTTTGAGTCAATTCTTCTTGGCACTGTTGTTTCTGCCTTTTCCCCCCCTCGCCCCTTACCTCCTGGAAGCGGCCCCTGCTCCCTAGGAAGTCTCTTGGGCCACCCTGAGCTCTCTGTCTGCACTAGAGCAGAGAGCACATCCACTCTCCCAGCAGGGACACGGGCTGCTGTGCATGCATTGCCTATAAAGAAAAAACTCACTGTGTAGCTCAGGCTGCCCTTGAACTCAGGAGCCTCCTGCCTCAGCCTTAAAAGTGTGGATATTATAGGTGTGTGCCATAGCACCCAGCTAAGAAAACTTTTCTGCTATGTGCCTCTGTCCTTCCATGCCCAAGCTATCGCTGGCATCTGCCACCACAGAAATTGTGCATGAGCAGGTGAAGGCAGAGAGATGAGAAATACAGTTCTTGACAGAGAAAATACAGTGGCCCCTCCATTCACAAACTTAGTTCTTTCCACAATTCTGGTTGCAAACCAAACTGGACAAGAACCAAATCAAATTTCCCCATCTCAAACCCCCTTTGACTAGCAAGGCTGGGCCAGAAATTCAAAAATGCCAGACCCTTTTAGATGCCATTTTCCATAGGATTTTTACATTTCCTTTTCTTTTGTTTTCTTTGGAGAGGAAGTCTAGTTCTGTAGTCTGGCTTGCCCTTTACCTTATGGAAGTCCTCCTGCCTCAGCCTCCCTTTATATTCTTCTAGCCAACTGAATCGTTCATCACTTAAATCCCTTTAAATTTTTCCTTGAAGACAAACTATTACTTCGAATTCTTCCTACCATCCAGGATACAAATGTCAGTGCTTCTCACTCAGAACGCTCTGCCAATAACATTTTCAGACTAGTTTCTCCCACCACTGTTGTGCCACCACATTCTGCTCCTGTGTTGCTGGGTGTGGTAGCTGAATAAAGAAGACTCAGTCACACCACTCCACTCACTTGCCACACAGCCTGGTCCCTAGCACAGTCCGTCACATTTGTTTCCTCTCCATAAAGAGAGGCAGGATATTGCCTGGGAGTGTGCACTTGCATTGCCTATGCTCAGACACTGATTGCCATGTATTGGCTGTGTGACATTAAAGAAAAAAACAATTTCTTTGGTCTTTTTTTGAGACAGGGTTTCACTGTGCAGTTTAGGAGCACCTTCAACTTACTTTATTTTTTTTAAATATTTATTTATTTTTATTTATTACATTTATTTATTGTGTGTGTGTGGCCAGCTCAGCCCACCAGGGGGCGGGTCTGGCTGGCATGTGGTGCTGGGGATCGAACCGCGGTCCCTGTGCTTTGCCAAGCTTGTTTCAAGTAGGTGCTTTAGACCACTGAGCCATCTCTCCAGCCCTCAACTTACTTTATAGCCCAGGCTAGCCTAGAACTCACCGCAGTCTTCCTGCTCAGTCTCCCAAGTGCTAGGATTACAGGTGTGAGCACCGTACCCAGTCAAGAAATTATTTTTGAAATTTAAGTTTCATTCTTTTTCAAAAAATATAGCTACGTGATTTTTTAAAGTAACTACCACAGGGCTAGGGATATAGCTGTGCGGAATAAACACCTGCCTGGCAACTGCAAGGTCCTGAGTTTGATCCCTGGCTAAATAAATAAATATTAATACCACAACTTATAAAAATATACATGTGGTATGATTGGCAAATGCCATGAGTGTTTAAATTTGTAAAGTATGTATTACACTAAAAGACACATTGCCATTACCCCTCCTCAGAATATTTTCACTCCCTTTGAACACACATATCTCATCATATCTGGCGCTTTTCAGAGCGGCTCTGGAAGTCCATTTTCCTGGGCATCTTCAGTTACATTGTCACAGTTCCCTCTGTACCCTGAATTGGTTTAAAACATTTACCTTTCGTGGTCATTTTGATCTTTAGGAAGAGCCAGAAGTCATGCAGTGCCAGATCTGGGTGAGCAGGTAGACGAGGACACACCGGCATGGTTTGGTTTGACAGAAATTGCCATAAATCTCATAACTCCCTGCTCTTCCCCATTTTAAATTCTACTACCTCAGAACAATTATTTTGAACTTGACCATTCAATCTTACTTAACTCCCTGCCTCTATTAGCATACCAGACTGGGTTTTATTGATTATCCATGTTTAATATCACCACTGACTTCCTGTTCTGGAAGGTGAAGACTTAGCCCCGCTCACAACACACGCGATCTGTCTCACTCCTGCCTCTCACTTTCTCTCCCTTTCTTCCATTCTGCTCAGATGGGTTTTTAATTCCACCAGCTTTCTAGTATTTAGAGTTGTCATCAATGCTGTGTATGTGGGCAACCCATTTGGGCCCCCTCTTGTCTCTCAGGAGCTATTCATGTTCCCCATTCCAATTCTCCAATAAATTTTCCTACTCTTAAAAAAATACCTTGTTTATTACTCTTTGCTGATCTTCATAATGTGCTATAATTACTTTTCCTTTCTTGTACAACTTTGTATTTTTCCTGCCATTAATAGGTCTTGTTTTTAAATTGAATTCGTTTTCTGTGTGTTTTTTATTATGCAGCCCCAAATCCTCCCAAAGCTATTTAAAAAAAAAAAAAAAGTATGTGTTGACGTGTTATAATTGAGCATATTCAATTCAGCATCTGTTATTTTTCTGCCTGAAACCTTTTAAGACTTTCTCCTTGTCTACAGTGGTCTCAGATTTCATAACTTCATATTTTCTTGTGGGTCTTTTCTACCTCTATTGTTCTTGGCACCCTAATTTTAAATTTTTCATTCAGTACTGGAGATCAAACCCAGAGCCTCAGAAATGCTAGGCAAGGGCACTACTACTGAGCTATACCTCTAACCCTGTGTTTGCCTTTTAATCTTAAGGTTTTCTTTTGGCAATTTCTTCTCTTTTCTGTTTCTTCTCTGTAAAGTTCTTAGAATTTGGGTTTTGATAGTTCTAATTTTCTCCTTCCAGTTTTATTATTCCCCTTCTATTTTCTGTATATCGTCTGTCTGCTGCTTTCTGAGAAATGTGGACTTTTTTATCTTCTTTTGAATTGTTCATTTGTCATCGTTCAAATTTATAGTTTCTTGTTCACTGAATTTAGCTAATATTCCCCTTATATAATCTTATTTCATGGATTTTTTTTTTTTAACTCTGTTCAGTCATTAATTACAGATCTTTGGAAATTTCCTCTGGTTTCTACATGGTTTTTTGTTTGTTCTCAGTTTCTGTTTTGTTTATTCTAAGCTATTATGCTGGAAGCTTCCTATACATCTGCCTACCCCAAGCCCAGCATGGCAAACCCCCTAATTCTCAAACATCATCTCCATAGCTCTTCTCCTGTAGTTCTTTAAAGTCTCTTTAGAGAGAATATTCTGACCTCCTGCCCTGGGGGAGCTACAAGCCTGTGCTCCAGGGACCTGGGAACTGAAGAGTTTAATACGCAAGCTTCCCTTAGAATCCTTTTGTCTGCTAACTCACTTGGTAATCATCCTTCTAATGTCCTACTTCTGGAGTTCTGTGAACTGTTAGTCTCTTTGCCCTTCTGAATCTGTTTTTCCACTTTAGTTGGGTTTAGGGAGAACAATTAATGTGTATGCCTGGGCCGTGTTTCTGGGCAAGTTATTTAACCTCTCTGTGTCTCAGCTTATTTATCTGAGAAATGGGAGGAAATAATAGTCCTTACCTCACAGAATTGGTGTTAGGAGGTGACAGAATCCATTTATGAATTTATGACTTTACTCTGTTATTGGCACATAATATACATCAAGAAACATTAGCTCCATTCTTAGTGGTAGTGATAAATTTAGAAATGTGTGATGAAGCGTAATCTGAAATGAGCTGAGTGTATCAATTACGGAAAGAAGTCAAATGCAGCCTTCTATCCATTGAGGTAAATTTTTTTTTTTTTTTTTTTTTTTTTTTTTTTTTAACAATTTTTTTTTTTTTGGCTGAACTGGGAATTAAACTCAGGTCCTTGCACTTGCTAGACAAGCATTTATTCTACTGAGCCATCTCCCTGGTCCCCTAGGTAAAATATTATTATCTACTTCAAGGAAATAGAAAAAGATGATGACCTTAGCTTGCTATCAACATTTTAATTTTTATTATTATTTTTTAATCTTTTATTTATTATTTGGTATAGATCTCACTATGCAGTCCTGCTGCATGATGATCACGATCCTCCTGTCTTAGACTCCTCAGTGCTGTGATTACAAGTGTGCACCAACGTGCCTGGTTTCAGTGGCCAGCTTGGCGCGGGGCTGGCAGGGAGTGCGGTACCAGGGATTGAATCCAGGTTTAGGGAGAACAATTAATGGCAAGTCCTGGCACTTGCCAAGCAGTTACCTAGACCACAGAGCTATCTCTCCAGCCCTAGCAATATTTTTTTAAATGATGTCAGTCAAAACCCATGCCTTCGTAAGCTCTGAAGTGAGCTGAGATAACAAAGCAATAGGAATCTTACCACCAGTGGACTTGTCACTCATTGAATATTTTTAGTAGACAACTATTTTAATCAGTTAAATTTTTTTTGTTTATTGTGAATTCAGGGAACCTGAAATGCAGTGTACTATAGTTAATAGACTTGGTAGAATGGCTTTTTTCACTTAAGCAGTGGGTATTTGTTAAACACATAAGTATGATCTGTGGTCTTTGAGCTTTCTACCTATATCAAAACACATCAATAACCAAATAGATAATGTCAAAAAGCATAACGTTTCACTGGCTACTTCTGCAATACGAGGATGCTGGACGAGGGAATAGTAGTCCTGGGGACTGAACTCAGGACCTTTGCACTGATCTACACTCCCAGCCCTTTTTCATTCTGAGACAGTCTTACTCAGTCCCTTAGTTGCCCAGGCTCAAACTTGTAATCCTCCTGCCTCAGCCTCCCAGAGTGCTGGGATTACAAGCATATGCCTCCCACACACAGCTAGAATCAATATTTTTTAAGTCCTTGACTTATAATCCATTTCCAGAGGTGCTTGTGTGTATGTGTGAGTGGAAACACACAGACTGAGATGTGCCCAGTGTGTGGCACACTGCTACCTGTGTTACAAGTGAAGGTCCTCTCCAGTCAGATGGAACGAGGGAGCTGTGACAATGTTGCCCAGCCCTCAGTCCTTAGCTGCCGGAGCCGCAGTGGGAGGCCTTTAAGTGTGCAGCTCTAGGCAGCTGTGTTTGGTCTGAATCAGTGACTAAAGGCAGGCAGAATAAAGATAGAGGGTACAGACAGTTAAAACATCACACATGGCTGGGGATGTGGCTCAGAGATTGAGCTCTTCCTCCTGTGCACAGAGGTCTGGGTTCCATCCCCAGCACCACAAAAACAAAACAAAACAGAGAAAAATCCTCTCTGCAAAAAACATCACACACACTCCAGTACAGTCTACTTAAGGGGGCCTCAATCACAAAAGTTCATTTCAGACCTCTTAGAGAAATCTTGGTATATGAAGATGGAAGCACTGGCTTCCCTCCTATCATTTTTGCTTTCAGGAGAAAAATTCTCTGACTAAGATCCTAGCTAAGAATTCTGCTTCCTACCACTGGTTGTCAGTTGTTGGGCACAGATTATTGATGATCTCAGAATTGTAGATTGAAAGCGTAACACAAGCTGAACTCTGGGTGGTGTTGCTTTTTGCAGCACTGGGAGTAGCATCAGGGCCTTTTGCCTGCTAAGCAAGCTCCCTACCACCAAGGTACATCCATGACCCCCATAGATGCTTATTGATAAACAAAAGGTAGAGTATCGAGTATCATCAGAGGCTGAAAGCTTCCTGAGAGCAAGGATTCGTGTCATGTGGCCCAGCTCACTTCCTTGCACACAGCTGTGCATGGGAGTGGATGCATAAAGCGTGCTTCAGTATGAATGAACCCCTCCCATGGCACTCTGTTCCTGTACTTCCTTGGCTTCTATTTAGTGCACATATGTTAATGTTGTCTCCCTTTCACTCAGTCTGAGGAGGCCAGAAACCAGATCTCCACTTTCATGATAGTTGCAGGCTCTAGCACAGCTTCAGGTACAGATTAAGTGCTAGATTCTGCAGATCAATTTATGGTATCAAATGTGATGACCGCAAACATCCTCTGTCCTATAGCAGGCCTGGCCAAGTGGCACCCAGCAGATCCTTCTTCCCCCGGCGTGGCAGCAGCTGACCGGAGTGGCCACGCACACATCCGTGCAGCATGCGACTGTGATCCCCGAGACCATGGCCAGCACCCAGCAGCTGGCCGACTGGAGGTGAGCAGGAGACTCAGTAGGGCAGAGGTCCAGGGGTGGGTGGCACATGCACCCCAATGCGGAGATCGTGTGGACTGTGACCACCCTGTAAGCAGAGGTTAATTCTAAACAGTGTGCTAGGGTGGGAGGAAATCAGCTTTACTGATTTATAATCAATCAGCTGTCATTGTCCACCGAAAATTCAGTTGCTGCGTCATTTAATCACCAGTGTAATTCACCAGACTTGGCTCCAGATGATTACTGGGCTTTCTGAGAATAAAATTCCACTCCCAGAAGACAAATATTTTTTTTAAAAAAAGAAGACAAAGGTTTGTCACCAGTGAAAGAATGCAGAAGAGAGTCCCTAAAGCCCTAAACAATTCTAGAAAGTGTTCTCAGGATGTCTGGAGACATGGCACCCTAGAGTCTGACTCCCTCAGGAAGACTTGACAGGCGGGGATTGCTTGAAATGTTATACTGTGGCATGTCTGTTGAGCGTGCCTCTTCAGTTACTGGTCATCTTATGGACCCACGTCCACCCTCCACAGACCCTTTACCCACCTGCTGGCACACTCCACCTCTGCTGTTCACAGACCCCCCACCCACCCACCTCCCTGACTTCCACAGCCATCTGTCTCTTCTCCTCAGACCTCTCCCCAATACCATAATGCCCCTCTCCACCCAGGTAGAACCAGGTGGAAGTCCCCCAGGCTGGCTCCCCATGGCCTCTTCAGCTGTCTCTCCTGTGGCAGACTCCAGGACCAGGCACTCCCCGCCACCCTCTGAGTCTCACTACCACCTTGCAAGCCTCCCTGCACTCCTAGTCTAACCTAAACGTCTGGTGTGGATGAAGCGCTCTCAGGGAAAGGTGGACAGGGGCAACCCAAAGCCCCTGCAGAGCCTCTGCTGCGCTTCTCCATCCTCCATGTCAAACAAGCACATGGCTGCCCCTAGGAGCCCACTGCTCCCCACCCCCAGCCCGTTTGCCAGAAGCACTTTCTCTCTCTGCTTAGTCTGGTGCAGGTTAACCTCCCTGAGCCTCAGTTTCTTCTTCAGTACAGTGAGATGACGCTTACCGCATGGGATTGTTCGATGGCTTAAGATAAACCACAGAGCTCTTGGCCTGTATTTAACATGCACCATAGCAGCGCCTGACATGACAAGAAGTAAATAAGCCTGTCATCTTCCCTTCCCCCACTCACAGAGGCTCCTTCTCGGCAAGGTCGCCCTTCTTCCTGCAGCTCATTAGGAACAGCAACCAACTAGAAACATGTCTGACCAAGTGTTTTTTCCCTCACCCATTTTTCTTCTTAAGAGACCACATGTATGCCATAGTCCTTTTCTTCCTTTGTCTTTCAGCATTTATAGCTCATTTAATTCAGCGGTACTCATGCGTTTACTCATTTATGCATGTTTTCTATTTCCTCCTCCCCCTTTCTATTTTCTATCTCTTATCTAATAATCATAGACATCTAGAGCCAACAACTCCCTCCCTGTCTCTCTCCATTTCGCATGTGGGCCAGAGTGTCCATATCCGTGGCTAATGAAGGAGATGTGCCAACGCAGGCCGATTTCAAAGGAAAAAGAATGCCATGTCTGGAGGGAAATAACAAAAGAAAGAAGCCTCAACAGCAGCTCTAAAGTACATGTAAATGCCTAAGGGACTGTCAAAATCGCCACAGAAATATTCATCTGCTTTTTTGCTTTTTTTCCCTCCTATTCATCCTTTTCCCCAATTTGCAAAGATAGAATGTGATTATTTTTAAAATTTCAAATGAATTCTCCTTTGGCTCTTCATTTTATTATTAAAAGAGCTTCTGTGGGCAAATCTCTGAATCAATCACCACTTTAAACAATTTCTGTGGGAAAACAAGGCATTCAACTCCATGTAACCCAGACTATCAGAACTTCGAAATGTAACCCATTTTCAGATACAGGCTGCCAGTATTTCTATCAAAATTTGCCTCACTGTTGTTAATTTTTATTTAATACTAAACTATACATGGCTACTCAACCTTCAGTTAATCTAATTGTCCATTCAGCAAGCGTGTAATTAACTGATCAGCTGCTACATGCCTGAGCCTTGAGCTAGCCGCTCAGGGAATTCAAAAGAACATTAAGACTTCCAACACCAGAAGCATATGGCTCCCAATCTTCAAAGTTTGTTTTTCACATTAGCTAGAATTTGCTCAATAATAAAGTGATATTGCTAAGATCCTACCTACTTCAGTGATCAGAATGAGAGAATCTATTGAAGGCACTTAGTAAATTCTAAAATTAAATACACATTTTATTCAGCAATCCCCCTTTCAAAGATATTTAAGGAAAGAGTATTTATCTCCTTTCTCCAAAACTGAAACACTCTGAGCCTGCCCATTTGGCATTCTTCCCACTTGAAACTCCTCCAGCACCAACCAGCTGGGTTCCTCCCCCTCCTTTAAAACAACTTAACTGTACCAGGAAGCTCACATGTGGAGTTTAGCTTAGGAAGGCTGATTGTGTTAGGGACCCTACAGGTAGTGAAATGTCCTCACAGTCAGCTTTTACTTGAGAGAAATCTTCATCTTATAAAAGAACTCTGCAGGGCCGGGGAGATGGCTCAGTGGAATAAGTGCTTCCCCAGAAAGCACAAGGGCCTGAGTTCAATCCCTGGTTCTGCCAAAAAAAAAAAAAAAAAAACTCTGCTCCTGGAAAACCAGTAAAGAGCCATACCATTTCTTTTCCTTTTCAGAAACACTCATGCTCACGGCAGCCATTACAATCCCATCATGCAGCAGCCTGCACTGTTGACCGGTCACGTGACCCTTCCAGCAGCCCAGCCTTTAAATGTAGGTGTGGCCCACGTGATGAGGCAGCAGCCAACCAGCACCACCTCCTCCCGGAAGAGTAAGCCGCACCAGTCATCTGTGAGGTACGTGGTGAAAACAGCTGGAGGACAGGAGCCCCAGAAGGTTGGAATGTTGAGAATATTGAGTACATCCTGTACCAACCGCATAGTTCAGGAAGCCCTCACCCTGAGTTGCTGCAAGTGGAACCTGCCTCTTGCCTGGTCCTGGTACCAGCCCTGCATGTACCCTAAGAGTAGGGATCTGGGATCATGGCATGTGTGACACCCTGAGTGCTTCAATCCATTGTGTTAAGGAAAAAATGATTCACTGATACTTGCTAAAGCATAGTAGAGTTTATTCAAAACCATGGAGACAGGGCACAAGGTCCTATTGTGCTCCGAGTGAATCTTGCAGTGGGGGAGAGAGAATGGCTCGTCTCCACATAAGGCATGGCGAGTGGGATATGCAGCAACGGAGCAGCATCTGGGGGGAGGGGGGGGACAGACACTAAGGGGTCAGAGGGCTCCTGGCTGACCCGACCCTACTGGATTCTTATGAGAGGTGGCCAGGCTGACCACCCATGGCCTGCTGGCTGAGGAGTAATTGGTGGGACACTAATAAAATATCCAGGGTGACCCAGTAGTGAGCATGGTGCCCTGGCTAAACTGACTTGAGTAGGGCTGTGCACTAAAAGTGAACGATGTAAGTGCACACATGGTTCTAGGAGAAGGCCCAGAGCCTGACTAAAGGCCAGCTGAAGAACTGTTACCTTCTTTTCCAGGAAACAGGCTCACCTCTAAAATTTCACTTTGGAAACCACTTAATATAATAACTTTTGCAAAAATACTGGACTTTAGTCCCTAGCACTGTTTAAACAAACAAGCAAACAAAATAAAATAAAAGCAGAACACCTAGAGAAATGTACTTCTTTGAAATTTGAGGTCAACAAATGAAAAGTACTTAGTTCTTTGCTTAAATATAACCAATGACTTCAATTCTTCCCAGATGATAACCAGCAAGACAGTAGCCTTTCCCATTCCTTTGAACTCTAGTTTCATCTCGGTGACCACATGATCAAGGCTACATGCTCTAGGAGTCCACTCAGATTTCACTTTGGAAAAGGCAAGCAAACAGAACTCAGAGCAGGGGTTACCTGAGACCAGAGCCCCGTGGGAGAGAGGGGACTGCCTGGGAAGGAGCATGGGAACTTCTCTGGTGATGAGAAAGCTACATGTCTCAATGTAGTTGGCATTTTTGACATTTTCCAAAACTCTTCAGAAGGGAGCCAGGTGTGGTGATCTATGCCTGCAGTACCATCACTCTGGGAGGCTGAGGCAAGAGGATCAAAACTTCGAGCACAGGGCCGGGGAGATGGCTCAGTGGAATAAGCACTTCCCTGGCAAGTGTGAGAGCCTGAGGTCAATCCCTGGTTCCGCCAAAAATAAATAAATAAATAAACTTCAAGCACAGCTTGGGCTGTTAATGACTTAGTGAGACCTTGTCTCAAAAAAAAAAAAAAAAAAAATTAAAAGTATAAGCTATAGCTAAGTACAAAAAGCCTGAGTTTAATTTCCAGTACCAACAACAACAACAAAAAATAGATTCCCTATTTGGGTGTATCTCACAGTTTCAGGAACTTGATCACAGGTCCGCAGCCACCCTCCAGAATGCTTCATTGGACAGCCTGCCGCACTGACAGTGCACCTGAATTAGACTGGGCAGCAACAAAGGCCACTGTCTTGATCCTCATGTGCTGTCATGCCCAGCCACTTAGGTAGTCACACAAAACACTGGTCTGACACACAGCTGCACTTGGTGGCCTCAGAGGTCACCTTGACCAAGCAGGGACCCTAAGAACTCTGGATATCCCTCTGTTAGCAAGCCTTTCCCTGTGTTCCCAACATCCAGCTGGCCTTGTGAAGAATCATTGCCCGTGTAGTTGAAGACCAGCGTAATTATTGTGCCAGTTATGTGTTTGCCCATAAAACAATCTGAGACAGCAGACAGAAGGTGCTGCTTCCAGGCCTGCCTTCTCTGACAGTGCCAAGTGGGACGCTCACTGCTGGGCAGTAAAAACATAGCCTCAAAATCATAGCACACGAGCAGTAACAAACACACAGGTTTATGATAAGTAGAAACAGTGTGACACTCTTACCAGTAAAACTTATTACCAGCCCCTAGAAAGCCGCAAACAATGTTTCTGACACCAGCTAGATAGAAAATTAAATAGGCATACCTTCACTGAGTTATTTTCATTTTACTGCCATCCCTTTAGCTAGAAGATGCTGAAGTCTCTCAGGACTTTTCCAGGCCTGAGATGCATTATGCACTGGCTTTGTTTTCTCACTGCATAGATACCAGGAACCAGGAAGGTTTGATTAGGGGGAAAGTTATTTTTTTCCTGAAAGTCACAAGAAACTGCATTGTCTAACTTAATAAAGAATTTCAGATCGATCCAACCCAAATTAAAAGGCCCTTTTTTAAGCATGCCTGTTCCTCTGTACTTTCCCCAATTTCTCATTACAATTCAGATAGACTAGTGCCCTGGGGTCAAAACCTAGAAAAATCATTTTGGGTTTTTTCATTACATACACATACACTTTCACAGCCAAGCCCTTTTCCAGAGGAAGGAGGAAAAAAAGCTGAATTTTAATGTCACCAAGGTTAGGTCCAGTAGATCCAGAAACTCTTAAGAAATAAGGCTTTTTGGGCTGGTGAGATGGCTCAGTGGTCTAAAGCGCCTACTTAGAACAAGCTCAGCAAAGCGCAGGGACCGCGGTTCAATCCCCCAGCACCACATGCCAGCCAACCCCGCCTCCAGGTGGGCTGAGCTGGCCACACACACAAAAATAAATAAATAAAATAAATAAATAAAAAAGATTTAAAAAATAAAAAGAAAGAAGGCTTTTTGTTGAATCCCCAGTAAAAAAAAAAAAATAATAATAATAAGGCTTTTTGTTTGATAAATGGTAGAACAAGTGTTAGCAAGGAAACCAAAGAAATAAGCTTTATATTTTACTAAATGGTGGGTAGACGACCAGCAAAGAAACTCAAGCTTTATGTGCCATACAGTCATTCTCTCAGTGTCCCCAAAACAACGCTTGCATACCTTCATGGGATAGAGCCAGAGAATAGGGCCTTCATCCAGAGGATGTGGACGTTGGCCAGGGAGACCAGCGTCCTGGCAGTAGGAAACCAGGGCCCAGCTGCACCCGGCCTGCACAGTGACTAGCTGAAATGTCTCCCAGTGGACCTTTGGGATCCCACTGAACTGGGCCTCAGACCTTGCTTTCCTGGAGCTCTAGCAAAACTGCTATTACCTGATAGCTGGCCTCCTGGAAGGAGCTGGTGGCCCACCCTTCTCTGTAAGCATGTGTGGTTTTATCATTTCAGAAATGTCTCCACCTGTGAGGTGTCGTCCTCCCAGGCTGTCAGCTCCCCGCAGCGATCCAAGCGCGTCAAGGAAAACACACCCCCCCGCTGTGCCATGGCACACAGCAGCCCAGCCTGTGGTGCCTCGGTCACCTGTGGGTGGGGCGACCTGGCCTCCAGCACCACCCGGGAGCGGCAGCGGCAGACGATTGTCATCCCTGACACCCCCAGCCCCACAGTCAGTGTCATCACCATCAGCAGCGACACAGATGAGGAAGAGGAGCAGAAACACGCCCCCACCAGGTAAGGCTGTACTCTGCAACGTGACACTGTGGTCTGTGGACCCAAATGGTTTACCATTATCAAACATAGAGTTTAATTTTATTTATTTGTGTGTGTGTGTGTGTGTGTGTGTGTGGCCAGCTCGGCCCACCAGGGGGCAGGGCTGGCTGGCATGTGGTGCTGGGGGATTGAACCGCGGTCCCTGTGCTTTGCTAAGTTTGTTCTAAGTAGGTGCTTTAGACCACTGAGCCATCTCACCAGCCCTCAAACATAGAGTTTAGATCCACCGTTTCTTGTATCCTAAACTTATTTCCAGGCATGTTGATATGCAGATTTGCTATATTGTTTAAACCAAAATAATTTGGAGTCACTTTAATCTTAAAAAGAAGTTACAGTCCTTGTCTAGAAGGAAAACGTGAGACCATAAAAATCAGGCACCAAACCCAGTGTATTTCAGCTTCTATGAGCTCAAAAATCTCTGCCTCAGGCTATTGAATTTATTCCCAGTTGGTCAGGAGATTTCTCTAACACTGCTGTGGCTCACTCAGAATTCGGAGTAATTGTCCAATTAATCAGAAATTTCCCTGTGTCTGATTAACCCAATCTTTCAAACTGCCAGTTGGCTCTTCACCCAGAGAGTATTACTGTTTATTCCTAAGTAGTAATAATTCATTTTACTCTCTGTGCTTCCTGGGGAGAGGGGAGAAATATTTATTATATTTGCAAGACTATTAACCCTAGCATCAGAGCCTCTTTTTCTATGCTTTGCAGACAGATGCCAGCAAAATACACTTTCTGCTCGGGCTACTCAGCTCAGGTGTACAGCCTGAAGGACGGGAGTCTTCTGCACCCCAGGGGCCTGCAGAACCCAGAGTCCGCAAGCAGCCCTGCTGACCCTGATCCTAAGGGACCAAGGACCAGGGAAGGAGGCCAGCCACTCCAGGGCCCAGAGCTGCCAGTCAGTGTACAACTGGTGCAAAGCTCAGCGTTCACAATTAGCCCCAAATTATTAATCACTGATTGGATAGAATGTAGATAATTAGCAATCAGAAGTTTTTTTGATTAGGTAATAAATTTGTATGCTTGAAATCTTCACTAAAGGTACAGACAGACTGATTGAGGTGTGCTCATTAAAACTTACTGCATGGGGCATCCCATCTTTATACTAAAGCTCAGGGTTGTTTTTGTGTTTTGCTTTCCTTTGTTTTGCCTTTCCATAATAGACTTCGTGTGTGTCTCACTTAGATGTCTCTTCCCATTGCACAGCATAGTCTGATTTTCAGTGTATTTCATAAGTCCTGCCATTTGTTGGGTACCAGAGGGGACACCAGCTCAGTGGGACCAGGGACATATTTGCAGAGCAGTATGGCCTTCAGCCCAAGTGCAGACCCCAGCACCATCTTTTTGGTCCCAGCTCCACAGGGTCTCATGCCCTCTGCCCCAAAGACTGGGCTCCATGGTCCTTCCACAAGGAGCAAGGAGCTTCCTGGATGGGTCCTTGGGCATGAAAAGGGTTCAGTAACCTCACAGCACTGAGGGAAAAACAAAAGGCAAAAGTATCTTAAAACTTTAGCAGCCAGCTAGATTGGAATATCACTTGAAGCCTGAGATTGGAGTTGACACAAACTCTGGTGATAAGTGCCCAGGAGAGACCCAAACAGTATATGAGGACAAGGACAATGAGAACCCTGTCTGTTCAATAAGTCAGCAAACAGAGCTGAGAGTGAATGCAAAGCTGAACATGCATCCCAGCATCCCCAGAGAGAAGCAGAACCCACATGCTGGCAGCTTGTGAGGACCTTAGTAAATGACTCAGGGCTGGAGGGCAGGCAGGTGACATGCCAGGGACATGCACGAGTCACGGCACTGAGCTGCTAACCCCATAGCAGCATAGTTCAAGGTGTATGAGCAAAATGGATGAAAGGTCCCAAAGACATCTGCCCTATGGCAAGCTGCAGCCTGAGACCGGAGAGTAACAGGAAGGGGCCAGCCGCCCGGCGTTGCACTGGGCAGCTCACCACGTGGTAGTAATGCTTTCTGAGGAGACGGTAGCAGCTGCCTTAGAACATGCATCAGGACCCAAGAAGGTGGGAAAATATGGTTTTGTCTGTGAGAGACAAAACAGAGGCCAGCAGCTGCCTTATTTATAGAGACACCACTTATACTTATGACCACATTTTTGTGACTATATTTAGGAATGAGAAAAGTGGGAAATACAATTACCTATTTTTAGAAATTAGAATTAATCATAAAATTAAGCATAGTAAATATTTATTGGCCCCACCAGTATAAGGTACTATACTAGGAATGGCAGATGTTATATAAATAAGGGCAAGAGTCTGTGTCCCACAAGGCATGAGGTAATAACCATAGTAAGACAAATCATTGTAACACCCAGCAGAGCACCAGAGCTACATCCCCAGGCTGAGTGGACTTTGTAAGGCCACATTTCCGTAAGCGAATGTGGACAAACAGCAGAGGAGATGGGATTGAAATCAAAGCAAGGAGATTAGATGGTCCACAGCTTCAGTGGGGGAACAGGAAGCATCAGCTTATCCAGGAAGAAGCAGGTCCAGGGATGAAAGGATCTCAGAGCGGAAAAGGGGCTGACAGGTTCCCTCCTCCCTGGGGAAGGTGGGCAAAGGCACTTAAGGGAAAGCCTGGGAAATAAAAGCTCACCCCTAAGTGTAGCCAAAGGGGGCTGTGACCACTGTCCACATGGACTGCTTTCCTTGCCCTTCTGTGTTTGGCTTCAAAGTGGAGACCTCCCCTCCTTGACCATAACCGTCCTTGTCCCCAATCTGATTTCTCCTGTGCTATGAGCATCTCAACTCTGATTGCCTCTGTCCCCAGCCTCACATCCCATTTGCTACTTGGCACCAGCTTGAGACAAATGATGCAGAACCCACTATGTCTCCAAGACTAGAGGACATGGCCTAGAATTATTAAAAGAATGCCCTGACCCAATTAGGTGGTGCTCATAGCTCCCACTTGTAAAGATAACTCCAGAGCACAAGAGGGCGACCAAGAGAAGAACAGAGGAGCGGGAATCTTAGCAGACAGCCCCCAAGCAAAGGCCACCATTTCTAGTCCCATTTGGTAGATGAAGAAATTGAGACTAGGATGGGCAATGACTCTTCCAAGGATCTGAGTAGCAGAATTAGGGATCAGGTGTCACACCATTGAGGAAATGGCAAACATAACACAGGCAGAAATAAATGCTTGTGCTTCAGTCATTAAGTTCTATAGCCCAGCACTCAGGAAATCTGAAGCAGGAGAATCACCATGAGTTCAAAGCCAGCCTTATCTTGAAAAGTATCCAAAATAACAAATCATGTTCTGTCCCTGCCTGAAACCACCACTGTGCCTGGTGTTACCAGTGTGAGCAGGGAGCAAAGCCGGGACTTGGAGGAGTCCAGAGCACGGTGTGTGAGCCTTCCCTGGGTCCTGGGCATGCAGCAGTCAGCGCTTTTGATTCTTAGAGCTTTTAGGAGGTGGGCATGTGCGGAAGAGCCAGTGGGCTCCTTTCTTTCAATGAGTCACTGTTGACCCTGGCTAGAGCTTTGGCCTAAAGACAGAAAAAACTAAGCCTTTTTCATGTGCTAGGATGAAGCAGTAGAAACAGCCTTATTTTAAATGTTTATAGGTAGCTTTGACTTGAGAAACTTTGGACTGTCCGCACATACTGAATAAGCCACTCCTACCTGCATTCTCTTGGACACGTGTCACACATGTGTTGTGCTCAGCAGACCCTCATGCCAGGCTGGCCTTGTGCCCAGACTATGTCACGGCAGCTGTGGCTACAACTTGCAGGCAGGAAAAGTGTTTATAGTGTGTACCCAAAACTGTGTTTCACCCGATCTGCTGGAAATCGCTTAGTCGAACTCCGTTACTCTTCCGCTGGCACTGAGGCAGCTCTGCAAGGCGGTCGATCTGTTCAGTTCACAGGGCAGAGCTGCATTCGCGCTCTACTTTGCTGCTTGGATTTACAGATGTGTGGCCAAAATGTCCATTCTTAAGAAAACTGGTGCATAAGTGTCACTCCATTTTTTAGATATAAAATGTCACTTACATTGCTCTTAAAATGTTTCTATATTTAAAAAAAAAAAAAGTTGAAACCAGGGGCCAGCCAGATAGCTCAGCAGATTAAAGTGCCTGCTTAGACAGACGCGAGGGCTGGGGTTCAATCCCCTGTATGCTGTGCCGGCCTCTCCCTTAGGGCACACTGAGACAGCGATTGAGACTGGACATGGTGGTGCACGCCTATAATCCTAGCGCTTGGGAGGCTGAAAACAGCAGGATCACTCTGAGTCCAATCTGTGTAGTGAGACCCTGTAGACCCTGTAACTAAATACATTTTTTAAAAAATGAAGCCAGGTGTGTTATATGCCTGTAACCCCAGCTGCTAGGAAGGTTGAGGCAGGAAGAAAACAAGTTCAAGTCCAGCCTGGGTGATTTAGCAAGACCCAGTCTCAGAATTGAAAATAAAAGCTAAAAAGAGTTGGAATGCCCCTGAACTCAGTCCCCAGTGCAAAACTGGGAAGAAGTGCTTTTTCTGTGTATTCATCATTTTCTTCTTTGTATTAAATTGAAAACCTAGAGAAAGTATTGTAGATAAGTTATAGTTAGGAAGCTGATAAACTGCTGTTTAGAAGACTGAGCTGAGCTGTGTGTGGGCTCACAGCACCATGGAAGGCAGAGGCAGGAAGGTCACAAACTGAAGCTTAGCCTGGGCAACTTAGCAATGTAGTGACGCCCTGTCTCAAAAAGGGGGGGAGGGGTAAAGAGGGCCAGGTGTGGTGGTGCACACCTGCAATCCCAGTGCTCTGGTGGCTAAGGCAGGAGTATTGTTATGAGTTCAAGGTTAGTGTGGACTACATACGCAGACCCTGTCTCAGAAAACAAAAAAGAACAGATAAAGGGCTGGAAATGTAGCTCAGCGCAGGGGCCTTGGCTGAATCCCAGGGGGAGGAAGGGAGAAGAAAATACTGAGGTGAAACACACTCTGTCATCATCATCAC